ATCCAATCTCAACCACAAATCAATGGATAAATTAGGAAATTAATAATTATGATAGTTTGAGTTAAAATTAATTTTTGAGTGCATATTAGGTATTATTTAAAAACTCCTCTCTCCTCTCTCATCTCTCCGACCTCCAATCTCCGGCCTCCGGTGAACATTAATCCGGTAGATATCACAGTATATCACAATGGGTATCACATTGTCTATCTTTGTGATTATTTGGTACCTGCCGGATTAATGTTCACCGGAGGCCGGAGAGATGAGAGAGGAGAGAGGAGTTTTTTAAAAATACCTAAAATGTTCTCTAATTATAATTTTAACTCAAACTACCATAATTATTAATTTTCTAATTTACCCGTTGATTTGTAGTTGAGATTGGATCTCACAGTTACCACAAATTAATCAGTTCTTCTTTGAATGAGCCTATATATATATATATATATATATATATGAGCGATCAAATATAAACATTTTTCTTTTGTACAAACTAACATCAACCAATAGCATGATTTTATTTAATTTATAATTAAAATTTTAGTAATATTTTAATTGTGTCTAAATCAGGAAGATTATATATATTAGAGATTTTTTTAGGAAATGATCAATCAATTTGTTTTTATAATAACATTGAAACTGGTAAATTTTTAATAGATACTTATTAACATTAATATTTTGTATTCTTTCATTAAATAAAAATAATCCGTCAATTTCAGATTTTATTTATAATCATCTTTTTCTTAGTAATTTATTTATTTCATTTTCATAATAACAAAATAAATCGGTATTTTATTTTTCACTTTACAAATCTTTCCAGATTTATTAATATTATAATTGTGATATTTTCCAGATTTTGATTATATTGTTTTGTTTCATTTGTAAAATTCATGAATAAATTAATTTCCTTACAAATTTTATTAATGAAATCATGTTATCCAGTTTTCAAAAATGTTTCATTCATGAAACTAATTTCATTTTAGTTAGGAACCATAAAACTAATTTCATTAATGGAATCATGTTATTCAGTTTTAAAAAATGTTCCATTGACTGAACCATATTTAGTTTCATTAAACCAATTTCATTTTGGTTAGGAACCATGAAACCAATTTTACTAATGAAATCATGTTATTCAGTTTTTAAAATGTTTCATTCATGAAACTAATTTCACTAAGGAAATCATATTATTCAGTTTTAAAAATGTTCTATTCATGAAACCAATTTCACTAATGAAATCTTATTATTCAGTTTTCAAAATGTTTCATTCATGAAACCAATTTCACTAATGAAATCATATTATTCA